TGAAGTTTGGAGATTGTGGATTATTGGATCAACATGGTTTTGCAAGGAATAAAATCTGGGTAATAGATGAGAATCCACCTCCACTTAACTCAAACGAAACCATTGGAAAATCATTTGTTGATCTTCTTTTGAAACCATCAGAAGAAGACTTAAAGCATTGGCCTCACAGGTATAATCAAATGTTACTTGGTTTTGCTTTCCTTTCTCTTATACAGATTCGAAGTTTACGTGTTTTTTCCCTTTGCAGTTTCGAGCTCCGTCTTCGGGTTTCGCTTGCTGTAGATGGCGACTTAACATTGACTTCTCGAGTTAGAAACATAAATGGGAAGCCTTTTAGCTTCTCATTTGCATACCACACTTACCTCTCTGTCTCAGACATAAGGTATTAATTTACTGTTAAACAAATCAGCCAAAGATTATATGTTTTGGTGCAATCATTCATTATAACAGAATTTGTTCACTTTTGGTAATAGTGAAGTGAGGATTGAAGGGTTAGAGACATTGGACTACTTGGATAACCTATGCAAAAGAGAGCTTTTGACAGAACAAGGCGATGCAATAACCTTTGAATCTGAGGTAAAAACAAAAAGATGTTATAATCATCGCTAGCGAACACGTAATCATTGGGTACGTTATGTCAGATGTTTCTTTTATTTCAGATGGACCGGACTTACCTTAGATCGCCAAAGGTAGTTGCAGTTCTTGATCATGAAAGAAAAAGAACTTATGTGATTGGAAAGGAAGGACTACCAGACACCGGTATGAATCATACGACTATGCCTTTTCGATTACTTGTTTGTATATGATATGGTTCATTAATAACAATAGATGGTGCAGTGGTATGGAATCCATGGGATAAGAAATCGAAAACAATGGCGGATTTTGGGGATGATGAGTACAAAAGCATGCTGTGTGTGGATGGTGCAGCAGTTGAGAGGCCAATCACATTGAAGCCAGGAGAAGAATGGACCGGCCGACTTATGTTAACTGCAGTTAAGTCCAGTTTCTGCATGGATCAACCCGAATTACAGAGCAAAGGATTCTGATTCTGAATCTTTTTGGATCATCCGAGAGAATATTGTGCTAATTCCATTGCTAGTCTCTGCAGTTTTTTTTTGTACTCCAACATTGGAAGAGCAGAATCGCCGATTTGGTTTCTTCTTTCTTTTACATTTGAAGTTGTTTGTTCTCACATTTCCTCAGTAGAGAAGCTTATGAGCCGGTGATTTCTCAAACCGGTCTTGTGATGTAGTGACAAAAGAAAAAAGCCTCTGTTTTTGAAATGTAACGGCTAATGTTAGAATATGAAGCTTCCACTGTTGTTGTCCTAATGGATCAGTGTATTTTATTGAGCGGTATAATATCAATGCCATGTTCCTACTATGGCCCCTCTGCCATTCATTACACATCTCAGCTAGTTTAAGATCTCATTTTTTGTTTTGTTTGCTACGACATTTTCATGAAGAATCCTCAAAGCAAATTGGAGATTGACACCCCTAGGCTAAATTTAATATTTGATTGCTCATTCATAGATATGTCACCTGAAATTTTGCTATGAATTGTCTAAGAAACTAATAAAATCCAAAGCACTATTACCTTCATAACACAATAACAAGACTCTAGGAATAATAGTCAATAAAAACATAAAAAGAAACGAAAACGAATGCAATTGATCATTGTCCAACATGTTGCTGTTTATGTGGCTCGATGAATAGCAAGCTTTCTTACACTTGAAATCTTCATTTTTTCCAACATCTTCATAGCATCATCGACTCTCCCGGCCTTAACATACCCATTGATCATTGCTCTGAATGTCGAAACGTCAGGTCCCGTCATCAATTCGTCATTCTCGACGTCGGAAAACATCTCAGCAAAGAGTTTCTCTGCCTCGGACATGTTTCCTTGTTCGCAGAGACTCGCGATGATCGTCCTATAACACGTTTTCCTTACCCGCGTGATCGGGGTAGTCGTTACACTGAAACCTTTCAACATTATGTCAACCGTCTCCGAACCACATGTTTCTATCATCTCTCTAAACAATTCCCAAGCCTCTGTTTTCTTACCGTGCTCCACAAAAACCTCCAAAACCTTGTTTCTGACAATGAGGTTCTTGGCCGCTTCACCCTTGTCCAAAGCCGCGTAAATCTCCATAGCTTCCTCGTCTTTCCCTTGCTTGAACCAATAGTTCATAAACGAAACGTTGAAGATTGCAATCGCCTTGTGATATTCTCTCCATGGAAGCTTACTATTCGGCCCTTTCAATTCCTCAAAGATTTGGCTCGCCTTCACGAACTTCCCTGAATCTAAGAATCCGCGAATAAGAATGTCGTAGACCATGAAATCACAACGGCCCATGGATCTCACAAGATCACAAGCTTCATCGAATCTTTTAGCATCGACCAAAGCTTTCGTGAGTAACCTGTACGTCTCGACCCCTGGAGCTAAAACTCCGTCTAGCAAAACGTGACGGTAAAGCTCAAGAGCGTCATCGACACGACCAAGGTCGCAATGTGCTTTCACGATGAGATTGCAAGAGAGCATGTTCGGGATAGTTTGAGACTCGTTGAAAAAGTAATTGAACAGAGAGATGGCTTCGTCGTACCGTTTAGCGCCGCACATGGCTCCGATTACGGAATTGCATATGAAGACAGTATCACCGTCATCACGAAATTTCTCCGAGACAGCGAGGTGCGATATTTTGGCGGCTTCCTCGAGATTAGACAACTCGATCATTGTCGTGACTCTGTAGCGGAGAGAAATTGGACGGCGATCGATGTTGCAGACTGGATTGATTTTCGGGATTGAGGAAGGGTCTCTTCCGAGTGGGTAAGGCACGAACAGCTTCGCGACAGGAACAGCCCTTGATACGGTCGGATTTTGGACGATGCGGCGGAGGAGGGACATGGTGGAAGAGGAGAAATTAGGGTTCAGTTTTGAATCGAATTTAACTGAAAAAAGGAATTGAAAAAGCTAACTATATATAATTATGGGCCTTTCATTTGGATTTTTTGTTCATAAAAGCCCATTTGTATAATCGCACGGAAGTTTCTTTGCTTGTGTAGCAAGTCTCTTTGGCAGAAACCCAATGTTGTTGGTCTAAAAAGGTAAACAAAGTAATAAATTGATCCAAATTTAGAGAATAACATTAGAGGAAAATTCACTTCCTTCCACTT